TTCTATATAATCACACTCTTTTATAATCACTAATTTTCTTGATACAAACTGCATGATTATAGAGGAGGAAGACTGTACCGGATATGATATTAGAACTGCACGAAAGAATGCATGAGCCCTTCCATAATAGTAGATAATCGATTTGAGTGACATTGTGAGTAATTTTTAATTCAATTAATTTTAGATTATAATTTTCATAGTGCACAAGAAGCTTTGAATAAAGTATTTTGGTATAATCCTACACCTTTTAATAATAGCCTTACAACCAAATTTTACGGCATGAAAGAACGCAAGAGCCCTTCCATAACAGTAGATAATCAATTTGAATGACATTGTGCGTAATTTTTAATTCAATTAGTTTTATATCATAACTTTCATAGTGAACAAGAAGTTTCGAAAAAAGTATTTTAGTAGAATTCCACACTTTTAGTAGCCTGCACAACAAAAATGGTAACGAAAAATGGACCTAACTTACGCACGTAGGGGCGCATTTGCCCATCTATAATGTTACATAATCGATTTGACTGACATTGTGCGCAATTTTTAATTTCAGCAGAATTCCACGCTGCTTAATAATAGCCTGCACGACAGAAACGTTAATGAAAGATAGACCAATATTATAACATGAAAGAGCGCATGTGACCTTTTATAGTGTAAATAATCCACTCTGTCCTTATATTCGCATTTTTTAGCATATAAATGTTTAGTACTCTTAGCATACTTGAAGATAATTACGATGATGACTGAGGATTTCTAAGTAACCGATACTAATTACATATAATATACTTATAATTCTGATAAATTATTTAGAAATTTATTACTATTATGTGTAAATTTATTAATATTTTAGCATTTGATGTTTATTTGGCGCTTGCTTTTACTGATCTTTTTAAATTTATCTATGTTTTGTGTTACATCGTGAGACCATTTTATCAAAAAAGTTAATCGTTCACTAAAACGCTTTTATTGAGTAAATCTTATGTAATCATCTGTTTATCATTACGCTCTTTTAAATCATCTAATTAAGAAATAATGTAATTTTTTTTTTATTCTTCGTCTGCATTACCATTACGGCGCATTTTACACTAACCTAAATTTATGACACAGCATATAACGCATATGTATAGTGAGAATTAAATTATTTGATCATAATTTGCCATAAAATTTTGTCAACATGTGTATATTTACGTTAAGAGATATACCACTAACAGATCGATTTTAAACCAAATTTATAGTGATAAAAGGTGGGTTTTAATGTGGGATATGGGTTTGACGAGATAACTATATTAATTTTATTCGATTTGGGGGTTTATTTTAGTATCTGCGTCGTGTGGTTGACACGTAATCATTATAATCACAATAAATCGATAGTAATTCAGGGTTTTTAATTTAGGCAAAATTCCAAAAAGTCGCAGCAATGCTAATATTATCTACTATTGTGACATTTTTGGTATTTTAAGTACATTTTTTTAAGTTTATTTGCGCCCATTTGTGAAGATCAATACCAGATTCCAATTTTTAATATTTACTTTTTTCGTACATATGTACTTACGTACACGTTTTAAAAACAATGAAAAAAACAATGAATCGATAACTTGATATTCTTCTTGTTTCAAATAGATGTAGTAATATGTTATTATTGGGTTTTAAAAAACGCTGCCCTGATATTTTTTTTTTTTTTTTTTTACCTAAGTCGTAACTGCAGTCTACCATATCAATATTTCGATGTAGTAGATTGCATGTATCCTTTTTTAAGTCCGCATAATAAAGATAACCAGAAAAAAGCTCGCCAAATTGAACTTTCATTAATGCAATAATTAGTGTTATTTAATATAAGACAAATGATATGTCATAAATAAATTACAAATAACTTATTTAGAGTTTAATATGTTTTATTTTTGGGCTCCTGAAGCTGACATACTAAATTCATGACTAGACGACGAATTATTTTACAAATAATTCCCGTTATTGGCTGCAAATTCATGTATCCTGTTCGGGACTGTGCTTGAATAAGAAATATGATGGCCCTAACTTTAGATCCTTCATTGCATGCTATGATGCTACTATATATATCGTGATTTACATGCATGCCCATTATATGACAAATTGAGATAAACAAAGCCATGGGCAATTCAAGTGATGTCTATAATCGGGGAAAAATAATCAAATCATTTTACATAGGGCGTACATACTTTGAACATAAAAATGTGATCACAAGATCTCGGATAAAATGGTTTGATAGATTCTCTCATTTTTTCATGATAGCAATAGATAAGGCGGGTCTAATCTAGCCAAATTTCATGGCATAAAAAATGCATGCGCCTTTCAACAATGGTAACTAGTCCATTTTGCCTCCGTCT